TTCTACAATCTTCTTTCAACAACAGGTCCTTTTAACAACATAATGAATTATGACGCTAAGGGAAGGGTAGAGAATGTGGACCGAGACAACATCCAGGCACACTCTGCACTCTAGTGGAAATCAATTTATAATTTATTTGACTATGTGAGCAGAAGAAGAGGACAAAAACACATGTTCCAACATATTATTGAAGATGATAAAAACTCCTAGGGAACTTACTTTATCTTCCTATTGGGAATATACGTTTACTTTGAATATACATTTACTTCTTTTTTTGCATTGTTCTTGGAATAAATGTGATTTTTGATATACATTTGTTTGTTAAAACCTTTGAGGAGTCCTGCCTTAGAGACTTTAAAAAATTATTTTTAAACCCATTGCTTTCCCAAATCACATGACTATTATTTTAGCCAGCTCTACATGCTCTAGCAAAGTTTCATGGAGAAGAGGTTCAGAAAGCAACACAAAATCATTTCTGATTGTTCTGGGGACCAGCACTAAAATCAGAGTGCTGGCAGGATTAGGTGACAGCCAGGACCAACCTTCTTCCTGCACACTGCTGACTCTTTGTTTATCTTCATATGGTATAAAGGTTGCAAGCTAGCCTCTTATTGCAAGAGTATTCCCAATAAAATAGGGTTCCTCCCTCAATGAATCACAGTAAGACCAGAGAGATAGTACAAGATTTAAGGTGCTTGCCTTTTACTCTGCCAGCACCATTAGATACCCAGAACCAAAAACGGTCCCTAGGTACAAGCAGGAGTAAGCCTTTAGCATTTCCTATGACTGAAGACCCCCACAAAAAAGAATGAATCATTTACCAAAGACCCATCTTCTAATTGTCATCGTCAAGATTAGATTTCAGTATATGAATAGGGATAAGATGATCTAGTTTGTAACTATTAAATCTTATTTGTTTTATATGAAGTAAATTATCATCCCATTAACTTACAGTCCCAAACACTGCAGCTTAGTAAGATGAAGGGGAATTCCACAATTATGGTGGCAAATTATTATATTGACCTTGACCCGCTATGAGTCTTATAATACTTAAAAATAAGATACAAACCACAGCAGAACCAACCACTGTGACTAGTGATCTCCAACAGCAGACCCAAAAGATAATTAGTACACACATAATGTCATCTCAGTACTCAAGGCTCAAAATATACAATATGTTCTCATCTATTAGAAGAAAGAACATAAGCAGAAATTCTAATGTTATTTTTGGAAAGATCACATACAGTGACTAAAATGATCTGTCCTTGAACCAATTCATAGATACTAGAAATCATTGTAAATATCTTAAAAAAGGAATGGAAAGCTGGTTCAAACAGAGTCAAAACAGAGCTTTTACAGTTGATCGCAGATATAGCTTCTAAAGACAAAATAGAATTTTATCATTAGCTATGGTCTTAATAAGGAACATGGATTGAATGGATTCAGTGATATGCCTTAGTCTGAAATTATCTGAGAAAGTATTTAGAGAAACAAAAAGGAACAGTAGTTTTATTGGAGGTGCAAACTGTCTTAAGACTTACTGCAGGAAGAAAAAACATTTACATGTGATAGTGAAATTAAAAATCACCACTAAATTTATTCATGTCATTTTCTTATTTTTCTTTTCTTTTACACTGTTTTTGTTCTTTTTATTTGGGGAATTAATCAGTCAAGACAGAACCACTTGCATATGCATATTTTGAGATTTATTTCAAGGTGTTTAATTAATGGATGAGGGAACTCTGTTTCAAATTCCTGTACAGTGGTGGAGTTGCTTCTTCAACAGAACGATAATCACGTAGGGACTTTGGTGAGATTGAATAAGCTACCAAGGTTATTTAAAACACTCTTAATAGAAAGTCATTTATTTATGGGGTCAGGAGACTTATACAGTGTGTAAGGTGCTTGCCTTGCACAATGCTGAACTTGTTCCAATCCCCCATGTTCTATATGGTACCCTGAGTACCACCAGGAATGATTTCTGAGTGCAGAGTCAGAAGTAATCCCTAAAGCACTGCCAGGTGTGGCCCTAAAATCATAAATAAATAAATAAAGGTCAACTATTTATGGACTTTAGTTATAGCTTCAAAATATTTCACATCCTCACCTATGTTTGGATACATAGTCCAAACCTCAACCTATGTTTGAATACCTAGTGTTGTTGACACAGAAAACTATCACAGGGGCATATGAATTCTTTTTTTTTGGGGGGGGGGGTCACACCCGGCGATGGACAGGGGTAACTCCTGGCTCTGCACTAAGGAATTACCCCAGGTGGTGCTCAGGGGACCATATGGGATGCTGGGAATCGAACCCAGGTCAGCCACGTGCAAGGCAAACACCCTACCTGCTGTGCTATCACTCTAGCCCCCAGCATATGAATTCTTAAATGTGCTAAAGTAAATTTTAAGAAAAACAACTCATGACCAAAACCTATAAACATTAAAGTCTTTTGCTAATCAAATACACATACGACATGCAAACCAGTACAGATTTCATCATACCTAACAAATATAAGGTATTTGTTAGGGGGTTAATTTTTAAATAACAATAAGATGATAATATTTTTAGTATGTTGCTTTTAATGATAGGAGCTTACTCATTTCTCACATGAATATTATCTGGAGGTACATTACCCAGGATTGGTATGCTGTTTCTATTGTTTTACCAGAAATCTATTTTTCTATTAATATAGAAAAATATTAATAGAAAAGGGTTCTATTTTCCTTGTACCTTTCTTTTTCAGTCTCCTTGGAATAGAACTGCCTTTACTAAGTTAATTCATAGTCCTAGAAAACTTCTAAAATTTCAGTATTCATTTCTCTTCTTTTAGCAGAATAAATGTCAAAGAAAGTAAAGTCTGATTCCATCACACATTAAAGTGCTCTGGAACCCCCATGTGTCTGCTTGTAATTGGCCAGAATTTTGCCAATTACAATTGTAATTGGCCAGAAGTTTGTCATACAAAGCTCTTTGTGATGGTATGTGTGTGCACTTGTGAGTGTGTGTGTGTGTGTGTGTGTGTGTGTGTGTGTGTGTATGCATGGGCCAGAAGGTTGGGAGAAATAGAGGGAAGGCACTCTGTTTTCAAGAAGCAGAATTTTAATTAGTGGATGAATTATGAAGAATGAGAGGGATATGAGATGTTTGCATTAGCAAGCAGCTAGTATATTTTACGTTGCAAGGTGATCTTAAAATTACAAGTACATTTGTCTTCTTCTAACTCTACAACAGAGCATCTCTGAGATGAGTTTTGAAGGCTTGGTTCAGCAGGCATCAATTATAAAGCAGACATTCCTTTTATAACACTAGCTCGCTGAGTTTGCCAGCTCAGCATCTTCTGACAGCCTTTTTTTGTAATAGATAGGGTTTTCTACACAAATACCACATTTAGTTTTGATATAGCACAGCGGGTAGGGCATCTGCCTTGCACGCAGCCAACATGGCCGACCCGAGTTCGATTCCTCCGCCCCTCTCGGAGAGCCCGGCAAGCTACCGAGAGTATTCGATATGCCAGACACAGTAACAACAAAGTCTCCAATGGAGACGTTACTGGGCCCGCTCGAGCAAAATTCTTATATTTTAATGATTGGAGGATCTGCAATCAAAGTCTTTGGAAGTAGCAGAAAATCAAGGTAGTTTGTGCTAGGTCCAGCAATTGCACATCTTATTTTTTTCCAAATGTATTTCTCATTTTATATCCAATTTTAGAGAATGAATCTGTTTGTGTATGTGTTTTATATTTGCTTCCACTAATATCTTAAATCCTATAAATCTTATGTTTTCTAGAATGGGGAAGTGTGGAAGGGTCCTAACGTTGGCTAGTATGACCTGAGGGACTGCTTAGTGGCTAATAATTTTACTCAAGTAAATCAAAATGCTTTTCCAGGTTTTGATTTCTAAAAATTACTTAAGACCTACATAATACAGTTATTTTTTTCTTTCTTTCTCTTTAGTTAGCCAGGATAAAAATTCTCTATAAATATTTACATAAAATTATGACTTAAGTTCAGTAAAATAAGGCTTTAATGTGTGAATCTGAGAAAATATGCTAGGTGGTGAACAGAATTGTTTTAAAGAGAAAATATAATTCACTTTTATATTACCATATTTCCAAGGAAGTAGGTTTGGGTTAAAAACAATACACATTTCTGTTTGTAAAAAGAAATGCCTCATTCATTACTGATTTCTTTGACTAACTTTGGAATGTCCTTACTGTATAATAATGAGGTTGAATACCTTTTGCTTATTGCTGTACTTTGTAATCATTTACATGAATGCTGAGTAATAATTTTATTATTGTTGTGAGAATATGAGTCTATTAGGAAACCAAGATTGCCAACTGTATCCCTTAGAGCACATGTAAAGAAAATTATGATACCAATCACTATTTTCCATGAAACATTAGTCTTTAGCTGGTGATACTAGAGTTCAATAATAGCTAGTGGAGAACTGCTTAAAGCTATATTTTGCCCCCAGATAGCCATAAAGGGACAATTATATGCCTACAATCTAAGTAGCACTTAAGCTGCATTTTGCATTCTCTTTGATCTTGAACATTCTTTTCCCTGCTGTTGTTTTTGACCTACCTTTTCTGGTTTCTTCTTTGGGAGAAAAAAAAACTATTATCAGCTTCTCATGTATTTTATTTCACTTACATGTAAGTAAATCTTACATTTAGACCACCATATGGAACGTTTCTTATTTAAGATTTTTGCTTCCTTCATTCAAAAAAGTAGATGAGTGGTTTAAGTTCAGAAATGTGGAGGACTAGGAAAAAATCATGCCTACCTGAACAATAAGAAAAAAAATTAAAAGGTAGAAAAATTGAAGGTTATTATTATTATTTAGTTCTTCATTGAACCTCAACTATAGAGCTTACCTCTAAAGAATTATTATGTCATTCCCTTTACATGACATTGTGGGAAAAAGAAGCACTATAAAGAGAGAGAATCTATGGATAATTGTCAGGAGTTGAGGATTGGGAAGTATAGAGCCGTGGGGGTGTAGCTCAGTGGTAGAGCATGTGCTTAGCATGCACATGGCCCCGGGTTCAATCACCGGCACCTCCATCTCCTGGATTGTGAGGGAAATACCTGCTTCCTCTTAAAGGGCTTTTCCTTCTTCAAATATGAAAGCTTGTAACTATCTCATGGTGATTCAATAAAATTAAAATCAAGTAAAAAAAAAAGGTTAGAGAGAAGTTTGAGTACAGAAATCACTTAGTATTTAATTACTGCCCCAAGATAGTTGCAATTTTAAAACTAGCAGGACTATGTGCAGGAATCTCTATTACTTCCATTTAAGCCAGAATTGTTGATCACCCTTGAAAGAAGTATATGTATGGTATTGGCTTGTTAAATGCATCAATCCATGTCTTTGTCACAACTCATAGAACGAACATTATGAAAAGTGAATTTCATGATATGCAATTTATTTTATTTTATTGAATCACCATGAGATACAGTTACAAGCTTTCATGTTTGAGTTACAATCACACAATGATCAAACACCCATCCTTCTACCAGTGCACATAACCCACCACCAATATTCCCAGTTTACCCCCCTTTCCCACCCTCTCCCTGACTCTATAGCAGACAATATTCCCCATACTCTCTCTCCACTTTTGAACAAGATGGTTTTCAATACAGACACTGAGAGGTTATCATGTTTGGTCCTTTATCTACTTTCAGCACACGTAGGAATTGGTTGGGATGGGAGATGATATGCAATTTTAACAGAGTAATATGCTATAACTTCCCAAGATATAACTGTAGCACTGTAGTACTGTCCATTGTTCATCAATTTGCTGGAGCGAAACCAGTAATGTCTCACAACAAGTTGCAAGACTTGTTACTGTTTTTGGCATATCGAATATGTCACAGGTAGCTTGCCAGGCTTTGCTGTGCCAGCAAGCTACTCTTGGTAGCTTGCCAGGCTCTCCAAGAGGTGTGGAGGAATCAAACCTGGGTCGTCTGTGTGCAAGGCAAACACCCTACCCACTGTGCTATTGTTCCAGCCCATATCATAAATTATAATCATCGCCATCCTCATTTAACAATGTTAGAAATGATGAAAACTTGATAGCATAATCTGATCACATGAGTGAAAATAAAGTACAAGTAGCAGAGTGTCAAGGAGCACATGATAGGAATCTGCAAGACTTTCAGAATTTTTTATAGAAAAACTGGATTCAAATCATATAAGTTTTACCATTTGATAACAAATTCCTATGACAATTCATAATCACATTTAATCATCAAATATAAGATCTTATTTTTATCATTAATAAAGTGAATAAATCATAATATAAACTCTTTGGAAAATAATTTTGCAGCTATAGACTATGGAATTGATCATCTCTGCATTTAAATATAAACTACAAAATTTGCTATGATTTGATGTTATTTAGTCTATTTAGTCTTTTATTTTTTCTTAGAGTAACCATTATAATAACATCTATATTGCATGGTGGGATACATATCAAAAGAGAATATGTGTATGGGAAATAACATAATTTTTGACATAGTAAGAAGAAACATATGATATTATATACGCTAAAGGATTGCTAACATATTCATTTGACATTTATAGTATTTAGGCTTATATGATACAAAAGAGTATGTAATCTAAAATTATAAATGGACTCTTTTTTAGTTTCAAAAAATTCAGTTGCAGTTTTTATAAATTAACTTCAATAAACTGCATAGTCAAGAATAGAACTGACAGGAACATAGAAGAGTGTTGCAGGGAAGAAATAGTTTCAAGGCAGAAAATTAAAAGTCATAAAAAAGAACTTTTTAAAAATCTGACCTGGTCTTAGGATCTTCGCAAACCTCTTGTATTGAAAACGTACAATAATGAAAGGGCTATAGTGTTTCTTTCTGATTTACTTCTACAACTACATAGAAAGCTATCACAAAGAATTTTCAATTAGTAGCATGCTAAAACAATAGCCAGGAACTTTCAGTTTCTGGGATCACTTGTAAGGAGTTTAGAATTTGTCAGTCTGTGCTTATAAGTAAGACACTGAACAAATTAAAGGTCAACAGCCCTTCTGAGATCCATAACGGTGAGGAGGACATGGGACAAAGTACTTACACCAGGACTGGAGAGACAGATAAGTGAATAATGGTCATTGTAACTTTCTGAAGTGGAGACTCATGAGCACTTTGTAGGAACCAGTGCCTGGGTAAAAATGACTAAATAACTTAAGTGACACATTGCTGGGGGCTTGGTGTGGACTACTGAGAACATTTATCCAGAGAGTACCAGTCTTACAATTCACAATAATGTGAGACATACATCATCAGGATTTCTCTCCGATATGCATAGTACATACATACACACACACAGCCCTCATTGTTAGGGGTGGGAGTTCATCCCTCACTGTTGGGAGTGGGAGTTGCTGGGGGTACAGGAGAAGGATCCATTTTGAAATATGTCAGAGTACTGAGTTTTTTTTAATGAGGCCAATCCTCAGGGAAATTAATTTAAGAAGACGCAATTTGTTGGGGTATCTCAGAACTTAACTGATTTGAAGGAATAAAAATAATCCAACTTGTAATATACTGTATTCACTTGTCCATGCAAGTAAGAATAGATAGATAGAAGATAGAGAGATAGATAGATAGATAGATAGATAGATAGATAATTTGTGAAACACACACACACACACACACACACATATATATATATATGGAGAGAGAGAGAGAGAGAGAGAGAGAGAGAGAGAGAGAGAGAGAGAGAGAAATGTCTGGGAATACTGAGATCCAGGGTCACAAACTTACTAAAAACAAGATGTAAGCACAGTATCACAGAATATCTTCTCTCTGTCACTATTCACCACAGTATTTCTACACTGGTTACCAAGAAAAAGTTACAAAGCATATCAAAAGACAAAAATCAAAATCTGAAGATAAAAAGCAAATATTAGATTCAGACTTAATCATTTAATCACTTAACTTCCCCTTAGTCATCGATTTGCTCGAGCGGGCGCCAGTAACGTCTCCACTTGTCTCTGTCGCGTGCTAGTGTAGCCCAATGGCATCTGTTCGCTCCGGGAACATGAAGGGCCTCAAACCGATCGTTCATGATCTTGACGAAGAAGTCTGACCATCTGGAAGGTGGGCGGCCACGCGGTCTTTTGACATCCCGTGGAATCCAGTCGGTAACAGCTCTAGTCCAGCGGTCGTCTTTATATCTCATTACGTGACCAGCCCATCTGATTTTCGACACCTTGGCAAATGAGACAGCATCCCTGATTCTTGATCGTCCATGGATGTCGGAACTCCGGATTTTTTCTCTCATTTGAGTGAAACGTGATATTCCAAGCATAGCTCTTTCTATTCTTCTTTGGGAGACCTGAATAACGTTCTCATCCTGTTTGCGTAGGGCCCAGGTCTCTGAGGCATATGTTAACGCAGGAAGAACAGTGGAATCAAAGAGATGTGCACGGAGCCGGAGGTTCTTTGTCCTCTTAGCTATTTCTTTGACGTTCTTGAAGGCGTTCCAAATCGCTCTCTTTCTCCTGCGCAGCTTGGGTGCCAGGTCATTTGTCATGTTGACCTCTCGACCTAGGTACACATAGCTGTTGTATTCGGAGATGGTCGTTCCGTTGAGAGCGAATGGGGCATCAGGAACGAGGCTGTTTCTCATAAACATTGTCTTCGTAAGATTCAGCTGTAGTCCTACCTTTCCACACTCACGGTCAAAGTTGGCCAGCATTTGTGCCGCTTGGCTGATGTTTGGTGTTATTAAAACAATGTCATCAGCAAAGCGGAGGTGGTGTAGTTGCCGACCATCTATCTTCACTCCCATTCCTTCCCATTCCAGTCGTCGCATGATGTTCTCGAGGGTGGCACTGAAGAGTTTTGGTGAAATGGTATCACCCTGCCGCACCCCTCTCTTGACATCAATGATCACTTCTTTTTAGAATGGTGAGATCCTGGTAGTGAATCCACAATACAGCTCACGGAGGATCCTGATGTATTGGGCTTGAATGCCCTGATTGGCTAGGGCTTCAATGACCGCTTCCATCTCAACAGAATCAAAGGCCTTCTTTAAATCAATGAACATTAGGCAGAGTGGCATCTTGAACTCCCGAGAAACCTCAATTAGCTTGGTTATCATGTGGATATGGTTGATGGTGCTGAATCCTTTGCGGAACCCGGCTTGCTCGCATGGTTGTCCTTCATCTAGTGTTCTGCTAATCCTATTTAGGATGACTCGAGTGAAGAACTTGTAGATGACAGACAATAGGCAGATCGGGCGATAGTTGCCAATATCATGGATGTCTCCGTTCTTGAACATTAGTACAGTCCTGCTGGTTTTCCATTGGGACGGAACCTTGCATTCAGACAGGTAGCGAGTGAAGATTCAGACATGGTAGGGAAATTGGGAAGCTCAGATCATGAATTTAAAACAACTGCAATGACTCTGTATGTGTTCTGTTAAACTCTGTCCTTCTTAGATATGTTTTTCAATTAAGCATTGCTATAGTAGAGAATGCTTTAGCTAGATGATATACCAATAATTATTTAATTCCCTAAAGCAATAAATGAGATAGCTTGAAGAATGGCACGCATACTTGCATGCAGGAGCCCTAAATTCAATCCCCAGCACTACATGATACAATAAGCACTTCCAGGTGTGGCCTAACCCACCGCTTTCTCACTCCATAGTGCAAAAAAAATTAAGACATAAACAATAGAGTTACTATGTGGGATAATGACAAAAATTGTAATATGTATAATAGGAATATCATAAGAAAAAGAGAAAAAAGAACTAAAAAAATTTAAATAATAAAAATTTAGCACTTCCCCTAAATTAACATTTGTTAGTAAAAATAACATAAATATAAAAAATCACAAATCATAATGAATGGCAAAAACAAAATAAAATATATACCTTATCAAATATACTGTTTCCACTAGGGGCGCCCCGGGGGGGGGGGGGCGGGCAAGAGACCTCCTTGCCCCAAGGGACCCAACCCCAGAAGCCGACCTCCTCTACCCAACCACCACAACAGTCCAGGCCGCTTTCCGGACACTCAGGCAGAGCCTCACACAGG